TAACTGTTGCACATGTGTCTTACCTAACAACCTGTCGGTATTTTGTACCATTTGAATGTTCATGATTTTTGGTAAATATTTTTTTTCTCGGTTGTTTGTTGGGCTATCTCATTGAAACTTGGGCAATGTATGATGGAAAGATGCTTCTTAACATAAAACAAAAATAAAAAAGATGGACGATAAATAAGGGAGTTCACTTCTCAGCCATTAGCCACCTCTTTGCAGTATATTTTCGTATGGTTTTATGGTTGTATTCTCATCTTTTGGACTCATTTGAGAGAATGGAAGATATATTACAGAAATAGACATGATTTTGATTGCTTTCAAAACGAAAAGTACCTTGAAATTGAGCTCAAAGTAGCGGAAATGTTCGATTTTTGCCGATGTTCAATGAACTGTGTAAGTCAAGTTGGTTAATTTTATTAAGTGTATTCTAACCTAACCACTCTGTAATTCGGCAAACTCAGTAATCCGGCACACTACATGTCCCAATGATGCCAGATTTGTGATGGAGGACCTGTACTAAAACTTTCCTTTTTTTACTAAACTCGGAAGATGTTCAATGCTCTAGTTGGCATCAAATGAAAGATAAAGGTTAGATTATTACTGACCCAGGGCATTTCAGCGATAATGTCAGTAGATTCCATTAAAAAAAATTGTTGAAGTTAGTAATTTTTATTTTATTGTTTTTTGTGAAAAAAAAAATCATTAAAAACAAAGCTGTAAACAATATCACAAATCCTCCCTGGGTGTTTGTCAAACCATCATTCCTCAATAACATGTGTATAACTCATGACAATCCTATTAATACTTATTGCAGAAAAAGGAAAACAATGTCAATAACTTATTTCTGAGTTATTATTTATTTTGTTTGGTGTGAAACTCTAAGGTTACAACATGCCAAATCTGAGCGTGTTGTACTCCTCCTACCTTGATGACAGCCTGCAGGCTACTAAGGGACACACTCACTGTGCTCCACACTTTAGCCAGCACAGAAGTTGCCATGTAGAGTATTTAGAATGAAACAATCATAGAAATCGTAATTTTTGGAGGAAAAAAAAACACTAATTGCCAACATGCATTTTTGCTGACAGCAAGAACAAAAAAATTACATTTAATGAAAAACATACTTTGAAATATGATAGAAACAAGCTAATTACATCAAAATGTTGCCAGAATTTTGCACTATTTTTCAGTAAGAAAACATTTTTTCCATAATTTTTCATTCTTAATTTCCTGATCACTGAAAAAAGGCTAGCCCCTCCCTTAACTTTACTAATGTATACAGCATTTTAGTCCCCTTTTAAGACACACATGGCTTATGGAGGAAGAATTCTGTTCCACTTCCCCATGGAGATAAGAGGAAATAAACAAGAACTAGTAAAAAAATAGAAGAAAACCCAGAGGGGTGTGTACATATATGCTTGTACATGTATGTGTAGTGTGACCTAAGTGTAAGTAGAAGTAGCAAGACGTACCTGAAATCTTGCATGTTTATGAGACAGAAAAAAGGACACCAGCAATCCTACCATCATGTAAAACAATTACAGGCTTTCGTTTTACACTCACTTGGCAGGACGGTAGTACCTCCCTGGGCAGTTGCTGTCTACCAAGCTACTATACCTTTGAAGAATTTCGAGAGTTTATCTACTCTCTGAGCCCGGCCATGGGCCAGGCTCGTCTGGTGTTTGCCAGGTCAACCAAGCTGTTGCTGCTGGAGGCCCACTGTCCCACATATTCATCACAGCCTGGTTGATTCAGCACCATTGATATACCTTTGTAGAGTTTCGAGAGTTTACCTACTCTCTGAGCCCGGCCATGGGCCAGGTTCGTCTGGTGCTTGCCTGGTCAACCAGGCTGTTGTTGCTGGAGGCCTGCTGCCCCACATATCCATCACAGCCTGGTTGATCTTGTCCAGTTTCCTCTTGAAGGCTTCTACACTGGTTCCAACCATGCTTCTGATATCTTCTGGTAAGATGTTGAATAGTCTGGGACCCCGGATGTTGATACAGTGTTCCCTTATTGACCCCACCATGTTTATTTTACACTTCCTCCCATATCTCTCACTCCAGTATGTTGTTATGGCAGTGTGCAGATTTGGGACCAAGCCCTCGAGTACCTTCCAGGTGTATATTATCATGTACCTCTCTCTCCTCCACTCCAATGAATACATGTTCAAGACTTGCAGGCGTTCCCAGTAGTTTAGGAGCTTTACTGGCTCAAAGCGAGCCGTAAACGATCTCTGTATTTGTTCCAGCTCAGATACCTAGGACATATTATGTACTTATCTTGAAATATTTTTGTACTTAGCTTATAGTGAGTGATGAATATATTTATTGGAGGTAGCCTGAATAAATGAAGACTGGGTATAATTGAAAACTGCTGTATTAGCGAAACACTGTAAAGCAAAATGCTGTAAACCAGGGACCTCCTGTATAAATTACTAAATGCAAAGAGAAAAAAAATATTTTTTAGATCACCCTGCCTCAGTGGGAGATAGCCAGTGCATTGAAAAACTATAAAATTATATTGCCCTACATATATACAGAAGACTGCATCTGTAAGATCCTAAATATTATCAACACTAACTTCCATATACATGCTGTAGCATGTTAATACAAAAAAATTGCTGCCATGTTAATTTACATATTTAATAAAGTAACTTAATGTGATCAGAATAATGAAAAAATTAGTTTACAGTTGATAGAAAAACATTCTGAAGTTTGAATGTGACAATCTTAAATAAAATGTGTTAATCTAAATTTTCTTTTCTTCTAAATTTAGTTTGATAAGTACTATTCAACTTCAATACACATCATCATTTTAACCCTTTGACTGTTCTGGTCGTATATATACGTCTTAGTAGGTAGTAGGTTGGTAGACAGCAACCGTTAAGGGAGGTACTACCGTCCTGCCAAGTGAGTGTAAAATGAAAGCCTGTAATTGTTTTACATGATGGTAGGATTGCTGGTGTCTTTTGTCTGTCTCATAAATATGCAAGATTACAGGTAAGTCTTGCTACTTCTACTTACATTTAGGTCACACTACACATACGTGTACAAGCATATACATGTATATACACACCCCTCTGGGTTTTCTTCTATTTTCTTTCTAATTCTTGTTCTTGTTTCTTTCTTCTTATCTCCATGGGGAAGTGGAACAGAATTCATCCTCTGTAAGCCATGCGTGTCGTAAGAGGCGACTAAAATGCCGGAAGCAAGGGGCTAGTAACCCCTTCTCCTGTATATATTATTAAATTTAAAAGGAAAAACTTTAGTTTTTTTTTTTGGGGCCCACCCCCCCTTTCAGTGGGATACGGCTGGTACGTTGAAAGAATATACGTCTTACGAGCCAAAGTGTTTGACGTATATATACTCAAAAATTCTAGCGGCTTCAAATCAAGCAGGAGAAAGCTGGTAGGCCCACATGTGAGAGAATGGGTCTGTGTGGTCAGTGTGCACTGTATAAAAAAAAATCCTGCAGCAAGCAGTGCATAATAATAAAAAAAAACTCCAACTGTGTTTTTGGATTAAAACGCCAACTTTGAGGTGTATTTTTGTATAGTATTTATGGTTGTATTCTTGTTTTCTTGGTCTCATTTGATAGAATGGAAAACATATTATAGAAATAGAAGTGATTTTGATTGGTTTTACTATAAAAAGGATCTTGAAATGGAGGTCAGAAATGTTCGATTTTTGCTGATGTTCAAAAGTAAACAAAGGACGTCATTGTGCAATAAATGTCCAACTAGCCATTTTAATATGCAGTCACGAATGGGCTACATTATTTATACAATAATTACAATATTGCAGTAGTCTGCATAACAGTAAATCTTCTATTTTTTGTGTGAATAAAAATTCAAAATATAAAGCAAGAGGATTATAACAGGGGCCTGGAGACATGACTGATGAACAGAGAAATTGTTATTTTACTGCCAGGAATGTCTGCACTGCTCATTCTGAACCCTATTTTGAAATTAACATTTTTTAATTGGCATAAAATTGGCCAAATTGCCAATTTCTGACCACTTTATTGGGTAGTTGAAATCAGTAAATGAACAGTTTCTTACATTCAATCGATAGAACAAATGGAGTTCTAAAGAAATAGCTATGAGTTTGGTGGACTGGAACAATGGAAATGACCGAAAATAGGACTCAAAGTGGGTGAAATCGCTGATGTGTAAATGTCACCGAGGATGCTAACTTCTCGAGACCCTAACTCCGTAAGTTTTCCATCAAATTTCATACTTTTGGTGTCACTACCATTGAGAAAAGATTCTCTATCATTTCACAAAAAAAAATTTTTTTTGTTTTTTTCAAATATTTTGCAACACCAGGAGACACCTCAGGATTTGGGGTTGCGACAGTCAAAGGGTTAACAGCAATCAGTGTAAATGACTGACTCATGGAATAGTAATGACAAGATTGTAAACTCACTAAATGCTAGCACTAGACTGCTAGCTTTAGGAGTGGCTTGCCATGAGTTCAAACCTTCAATATGGTGAGTAGTATAAATGCTTGCTTGAATCAAAACCCCAAAAGTAAGGCATCAGAATGTAGAACCACAGGCAAGACTTACTGACTTTCTTAAATTGAAATAAAAATATTCACTGATAATTTCATAAATGACTAATATAATTTATTTCTAATAACTTGATAAATTATTTAAAATAAAGTACTGCTGAAATTTTCACAGACTGTAAAATCTTCAAAAGCAATTTTGTTCATTAAGTTATATCCGTGCTACATTAGTGGTTTCGATACAAGAACATCTAAAAATAGAGATACTCTATTGCAGGTTCATTAACCCGTAAACGGTCCAAACGTATATATACACTTTTTCAACATTTGAAAGTATGTAAAAAAAAGTAGATCTTTTTTTTTTTGTTATATTTGAAAATATGTATAAAAAAACATAGATCTACTTTTGAAGCACTATGCACATGAATGTAGATCTGCTTGGACCGTTTATGGGTTAATACACAGCAACACTGAACTCACCGTAAACTTCTGTGATTCAGACTGAGTGCAATACAGCCAATAGCTTCACGATGTTCAAACACCAGGTTAAATCCATACTGAAAAATATTAAAAATCCTGTATGAAACACTCCATAATTATTTATAACTGCATATAAAATAATATAGTTTTGGAGTGGTTGGTGCAATTATTTAATAAATGTATGGAAGAGGGTAAGGTACCTAGGGATTGGCAGAGAGCATGCATAGTTCCTTTGTATAAAGGCAAAGGGGACAAAAGAGAGTGCAAAAATTATAGGGGGATAAGTCTGTTGAGTATACCTGGTAAAGTGTATGGTAGAGTTATTATTGAAAGAATTAAAAGTAAGACTGAGAATAGGATAGCAGATGAACAAGGAGGCTTTAGGAAAGGTAGGGGGTGTGTGGCCCAGGTGTTTACAGTGAAAACATATAAGTGACCGGTATTTAGATAAGGTTTTAAAGAGGTCTTTGGCATTTATGGATTTGGGAAAGGCTTTATGACAGGGGGATAGGGGGGCAATGTGGCAGATGTTGCAGGTGTATGGTGTAGGAGGTAGGTTACTGAAGCAGTAAAGAGTTTTTTACGGGATAGTGAGGCTCAAGTTAGAGTACATAGGAAAGAGGGAATTATTTCCCAGTAAAAAGTGGGCCCTAAGACAAGGATGTGTGATGTCACCATGGTTGTTTAAAAATATTTATAGATGGGGTTGTAAGAGAAGTAAATGCGAGGGTCTTGACAAGAGGCGTGGAGTTAAAAGATAAAGAATCACTAAAAAGGGGGAGATGTCACGTTGCTCTTTCCTGATGACACTGTGCTCTTGGGAGATTCTGAAGAGAAGTTGCAGAGATTGGTAAATGAATTTTGGTTAGGGTGTGCAAAAGAAGAAAATTAAAAGTGAATACGGAAAGAGAAAGGTTATGAGGATAACAAACATATTAGGTGATGAAAGATTGGATATCAGATTGGGGGGAGAGATTTATGGAGGAGGTGAATGTATTCAGATATTTGGGAGTGGACTTTGTCAGCGGAATGGGTCTATGAAGGATGAGGTGAATCATAGAATTGATGAGGGGAAAAGGGTGAGTGGTGCACTTAGGAGTCTGTGGAGACAAAGAACTTTGTCCTTGGAGGCAAAGAGGGGAATGTATGAGAGTATAGTTTTACCAACACTCTTATATGGGTGTGAAGCAGGGGTGATGAATTTTTGCAGCGAGGAAAAGGGGCTGGAGGCGTAGAGATGTCATGTCTGAGGGCAATGTGTGGATGTGAATATAATGCAGAGAATTCGTAGTTTGGAAGTTAGGAGGAGGTGCGGGATTACCAAAACTGTTGTCCAGAGGGCTGAGGAAGGGTTGTTGAGGTGGTTCGGACATGTAGAGAGAATGGAGCAAAACAGAATGACTTCAAGAGTGTATCAGTCTGTAGTGGAAGGAAGGCGGGGTAGGGGTCGGCCTAAGAAAGGTTGGAGGGAGGGGGTAAAGGAGGTTTTGTGTGCGAGGGGCTTGGACTTCCAGCAGGCATTTGTGAGCGTTTTTGATAGGAGTGAATGGAGACGAATGGTTTTTAATACTTGACGTGCTGTTGGAGTGTGAGCAATTAACATTTATGAAGGGGTTTGGGAACCGGCGGCCGGACTTGAGTCCTGGATGGGAAGTACAGTGCCTGCATCTTGAAGAGGGTGTTAATGTTGAGTTTAAAAAACTGTGTAAAGACCCTTGGGAAAACAGTGATGGAAGGGGAATGTGGTGAAGTTTTTTTTTTCGGCCACCCTGCCTGTTGGAATCGGCCAGTGTGTTAATAAAATAAATAAATATTTATATATATTATATATATATATTATATATTATATATATATATTTTTTTTTAATATTATTTTATATTATATATAATATATAATATATATATATATATATATATATATATAATTTTTTTTTTTTAAAAAGTTTGGATCCAAAACTTCCACAGGCAGGGTGACCCAAAAAAGAAAGAAAATCCCCAAAAAATAAATACTTTCAACATTCAACACTTCAACACTCCTTTAAATTTTCATGTTTTGCGAGTGCTCAGAATACAACAGTTAGAGCCTACCTATAAAGATACTCAACATATCCCTCAACTGCAATATTTAAAATATTAAAAATATTTTTTTTTTTTTTTTTTTTTTTCAAAAAAGTTGGCCGTCTCCACCCAGGCAGGGTGACCCAAAAAAAGAAGAAAATCCCAAAAAGAAATACTTCATCATCATTTAACACTTCACCACACTCACATTTATCACGGGTTTTTTCAGAGTTGCCAGAATACAACGTCTAGAAGCTACACATATAAAAACCCAAAAAATCCCTCCAAACTGCCATACCCAAACCCTCCTTTAAAGTGCAGGCAATGTTCTTCCATTCAGGACTCTAGTCCGACTATATGAAAAAACCGGTTTCCCTGAATCCTTCATAAAAAATTACCCTGCTCACACTCCAACAGATCGTAGGGCCCAAAGTACCATTCGTCTCCATTCACTCCTATCTAAACCTCACGCACCTTGCAAAACAATCACTCTGAAAGAATAAGAAATTCCAAGCGCTTTCGTGATACTCACATATAAGGAAATGTTCTTGATAATCCATTTACTGTGATTTATTGCGCATATATATATTATTATATATATATATATATATATATTATTTTAAAATAATTTATAAATTATATTAATTTTATATATAATATATATATTTATATATTATATATATAACTATATTATATTATATATAAATTATATATTATATATATATTTATATATTTTTATATATATATAATATATATAAAATATATAATATAATATATATATATACAATTATTCTATTACACTTAGTCACACTACACATAATGTACACATTATTTATACAACCATCTGAGTTTTCTTTGATTTTATCTTATAGTTTTGGTCTTTTTAATTTTCTTTTATATCCATGGGAATGGAAAAAGAATCTTTCCTTCGTAAGCCCTGGTGTTGTAAAAGTCACTAAATGCGGGGAAAAATGGGCTAGTAAACCCTTTTCCTGTAAAGATTTCTAAAAAGAATAAGAAGAGAAAATTGTCAAAATGGGAAGTTGGAAAGTGCGTGGAGTTTTTGCAGATGATAAGAAAGAGTGATTGTGGATGTTATGAATGAGAAGAAGCTGGAGTCCCGGCTTTTATGAAAACAAAGTGAAGGGGTGGGAGAGTTTATGGAGAGAATAAATGGGATTGGTCAGGGGTTTAAATAGAGTTAGAGCTAAAGAAGGAGTGCAATAATGTTTAAGGATAAGCTATGGCAGGAAAGAGGGACTATAAATGTATTAATTCAAGGATTTGTGGAGTAAATAAAGAGGATTGAAAGTGGGTTATAAGGTGTATGCACTGGGAAGAAGAAGTGTAGAGAAAAGGGGAGAGATTTGGGAAATGTTGAGTAATTTCGTGGGGAGTTTTGAATTTAAGTGTTGAGGTAATGGGGGTTGGGGATTAATGTAAGGGGGTAAAATGTTATGGAGGGAGTGTAGGTAAATTTGGGTGGCAGGGGTAAATGTAAATGGGGAGCTTAAATTTAGCTATGTGTAGAAGGGAAAATTTTGGGAATAAGTTTTACATATTTTATGAAAAAGGGTAAATAAATATACAAAGGGATGATGTAGCCGTAATGAAGTGGGTTATTAGATTATGTATTTGGGGATAAAAGGTGTGGGGAGGCTCCAGGTTTTACAGTTTATAGAGGGGCAACTGAATATCGGATCATTTTTAGTTGTAGCTCAGTTAGGAAGAGGTAGATGGGAAAGGGAAGGTGGAACAACAAGAAAAAGGGAGGGGAAAGTGTATAACTAAGGGAGGAGAAGTTCGGGTGAGATATAAGCGACTATTGGCAGAAGGTGGGTGTGCAAAGATGCGTATGGGGGGTTGAGAGGTTGGAATAGTTTTAAAATGCATATAAATGTGGGCAGAGTTTGTGGTTATAGGAGGGTGGGGGCAGAGAAAGAGGAGTGATTGGGGATGATGAAGTAAAGGGTGGTAAAAAGAAAAAGGTAGCTATGAGAGGTTTTACAAAGCAAATGTTTAAGAAGAGCAGAGTATATGAAAAGTAAAAGAAAGGTAAGAAAAGTGGGGAAAGTGCAAAAGGAGAGCAATGATAGAGTGGAGAGCACTGTCAAGATTTTAATGAAAAAAGAAAAAATTTTGAGTGAGTAAACAGTTTAAAAAAGCCTAGGAAACAATTTCAGTTAAAACAGAGTAGGGGGTAGTAATGGGGAGAGGGGATTGGGAAGATGGCAGATATTTGAGAAACTTTTAATGTAAGGGAAAAAACAGAGGCGTAATTTCATGCCTGTCGGGGGTATACCTCTTTTGGAGTGAAGAAGAGCAGAAAGTAAGTGTGGGGAGGTACTGAGCATACTAAATGAAAGGGTTTTAACAGCTGGACGGGGATATGACAGAAATGTTAAAAAGCAGGGGGATTAGTGGGTTTGGAAATGGGTTGTACTTTGTTAATAAATGTATAAAGAGGGAAGGCCCAGGGATTGGCAGGAGAGATGTATGTCCCTTTTAAAAGGGAAAACAAAAGAGACTGTAAAAATTAAGAGGAATAAGCTACTGAGTATACCAGGAAAAGTGTTACGGTAGGTTATAATTGAAAGAATTAGAGGTAAGACGATGTAGGATTGCGGATAGCAAGGAGGGGGTTTGAGTGGGTAGGGGATGTGTAGATCAGGTGTTTACATTGAAACATTTATTTTTAACAAATTTAGATAAAGATAGGGAAGTTTTTATTGCATTTATGGATTTTGGAAAGGCATTGATAGTGTGGATAGAGGAGCAATGTGGCAGATGTTGCAAGTATTGGAATAGGTGGAAAATTTTTAAATGCTGTAAGAGTTTTTTGAGAAGTGAGGCTCAAGGTTAGGGGTTGTTTGAAGAGAGGGGACTACTTCCGGTTTAAAAGTAGGTCTTAGACGGGATGTGTAATGTCACCAGGTTGTTTAATTAAATTTATAGATGGGTTTGTAAGGAAGTAAATGCTAGGTGTTTGGAAGGGGTGGGATTTTAAAATTTTTGGGGAATCAAATTAAAAATGGGAATTGACAAAAGTTACTTTTGGTATGATATGTGCTTAAGGGAGATTCTAGAAAATTGCAAAGG